CGTCTTCGTCTCTTGTACCGTAATGTATTTTCTATCAGCATTGGAACCAATTAATTAAGAGAGACGTGGGGAAGAAAAACAAACACCCGAAAGACGACCAATAGTAGTTTTATGGGATCAACATTTAAAACAACCTTTGTTTCAGATTTACATTAGCACTAATAGTGCCGAATTAACAAAACAACAACTGGTACCAAACGTACGTAGGTTGAAATGCGTATAAAGTATTAGCCATTATCTCCACGAAAAATATCATTTGAAGATAAACATGACTCTTATTTTTTTTACTCACTAAAACTACCTAGCTAACAAGCATTAACAGTCTAAAGAAACAAAATAAGACTTTTACTGCCCTAGATAATTGCCCGATTAATAAATTTATAGAACAATCTAAAATGCGCAAAATTGCTCGTGACAAGGTAACAAACAAATTTCCGTTCAGATATAAAATAATAAATTAATTCCAATTAAAAATTCCAAAAATTAGAAAGAAATCGATTTAACACTCATAACGTTTTGTGTCTAGACGCAGCAAACATAATTAAGTATTACTCAACTCAATGTGCCGCATATATATGCTTTTACTATTTATGTACACTTCGCATATCCATGTTAATTTAGACTAGTTGACTTTTTATATTTACTACACTTCTCAAAAATTGATGCAAACTCGTCGCACTTATTCTCGTAGACTTTAAACTCGCTACCGATAGAATTCAACACCTGGAACCACGCTAGCTAGTCTAGATCTATTCTCTGCGAAATGTTCAAGGAACCACATTGAATTTTGCTTTCTCGCATTTTACTAAAGGAATATTTAAGATCCTCCATAGTTATCGGTCGCAGAGCCTCCTGAAAACGCTCTTCTTCCGGACTGTTCTTTTCTCTGGCTGCCTGTGAATTTATTTGTTGAATCTCTTCTCTGAGAAAATCGCGAATTCTGTACACTGCAGCGTTTCGACAAAGCTCACGCAAATCTGAACCAGAAAAACCGTTGGTGCTTTTAGCAATTACTTCTATATCCACATCGTCGGCTATTGGCTCATTGTCCAAAATCAAGCGAATAATTTGTTCCCTTTGAGCTACATCTGGCATTGAAACGTGGAAGGTAGCTGGCATTCTGCGGAGAATGGCTCTATCTAAATCCTAAAAGAATACAATATTTTTTATATTGTGTGTATCAGCCAAATTGGGTAATTTTTCTATACATATTTCATTTGCAATGTCCTAAACCTATCTTCAACTGTTTCGGAAATAGTAGTAGTAAAAGTAGACGAATGTCATTTTACTTTATGTACCGAAATAGGCAGATAATAAATTATCAGAAAGCCTCAAATTAAGTGGAACTTCGGTAATAAAATGATAGGAATGGAAGGTGCAGCAGACCAGTTTTAAGTGTCACTTAAATATTAAAAAGCTCTTAGCTAATGATTCATATTGGAAACAGTGCAGTTGACCCTTATTTTAGTTGAATTAAGCAACAGTTTAATTCTGTGATTTACATAAAAAATGGTATCATCAAAACCAGCATTTACGCAATTTTCTTTGTTAATATTGACGAAATTGCAGATGTAAACAGTAAAGAGTAATCAAATGTTGCACTCTGTCTCTTCACTAATTATCTTTGCTAGTGAAAAGTTGGGAAACTTCGGTTTAAATAATTTAATATGATGTATACAAGGTTATTGTCTTCCTGTGGAAACCCCAAAAAAAGAGCTACTTACTTGAGGTCGGTTAGTGGCACCCATAATGATTACAGTGCAATTGGGATCAGTGATTAAACCATCCCATAGGGACATAAACTGTGCTTTCATCATTGCAGTGGCTTCATGATCATTGCTGTTTCTAGCTCTTAAGAACGAATCAATTTCGTCTATAAAGATGATGCAGGGCTGCAACTTGACCGCCAAAGTAAACACTGCAGCAGCTAGCTTCTGACTTTCGCCGTACCATTTATCAGTTAAAATCGACAAATCCAAATTGATGAAGTAGGTACCAGCTTCTCGAGCTGTTGCTTTAGCTATAAGAGTTTTTCCACATCCAGGTGGTCCATGCAACAATACTCCTGAAATAAGTGAGTTCCTTGCAAAACGAACATAGACAAACTAAAACAAATATTGAATAACTCTTTAAAACATTTTTTTTGCTTCTCGTTAACATTTGATTTAGTACTATAATGCAAAATAATGTGGCGCGATGTATTAAATTGCATACATAGCGGGTATCTCACATTATTATGATTTGATTTGAGTTGTTATTTGAGTGAACGTAAAGTAATTCTCAAGTAGTGTTCACTACATGTGTTATCTGACTGTACCGATGTACCAAATAAAATCAACGGTTGTCCGAGTTGTTGTCCGGTTGATTCCTGTGCATACGGTATCTTTTAAATCAGAATCTTACCCTTTGGTGGTGAAGTTAAATGAGAATCAAGAAACAAGTCTCTTCGTTGGATTGGCAAAATGACCGTTTCTCTCAATTCATCGATTAAACCTGATAATCCAGCAATGTCCCTCCAGGAAACTTTGATGTCATTGGGGTTTACTAAATGGGCAGCGATCATCATTTCATAGTCGGTAAGTGTGGCCACGGGAACTACTTGATTGTTATGGGGTCCAAGCCTGTAAATAGACCAACACGGGAACGAATCAAAACATGAAAGGCATAATCAAATATAGAAAATATAAATAATACTCATCTTTACTAATAATGTGTTAAATAATGTAATTTAACATAAGCTCGGGTAACTGTTTGCAAAATTACAGAAAATCATAGAAGTCGGACTAAAGAAACATGTAGTTAAGGTTTATGTAAAGCCTATTGAGACATTACAAAAAACTCAAAATTTAACAACCAGTGGAATGTTTGCATTGCATGGGTCTGGGTAACACTGTGTTGAGTTGCGCTTTTGTGTTGTTGCCGCTCTCTGAGTTACAACTCATTTATTGCATGCCTATGCCTTGAAAGTGGATTAAGCTTTATTAGACTCGAAACTGGAATTGTAACATTTTAAAAAAATGTCACCTCATTTTTTACCTCATAATTTAATATTTTTCCAGAAACGGAACTGAGTTACTGCGCCGGTGCGTTGAGTTGGCGCACTAAGCCATTTGCCCAGCACTACGCCAGCTCCTAAAAATTCACTGAGTTGGGTACCGCGACTAGAATGAATGTAGGTCTATTCAAAAATATGTTTAATAAAAACTCGTGTAGCCCTTGTTTAAAATATATCGTTTCCTCATCAATAATTTCAAAATGCGGTCGGAATACCATGTTAGTTAAAGAATTATTAAGGCACGCACACATGATCAGGAGTTGGTGGTCCAATAGATGCGTGAACGTCCGAAGAGTTTCTACGATGTGGGATTAAAAAGCTACTTATCCAATGGGAAAAGTGTATTTCTAGGATGGGATATTATGTATAAAAAAATAATGTTTTCGTATTGCAAAATAAAACAACCATTTAAAAAAAAGGTGTGCGTCACGGGACGATCGGCAGAAATTTTAACTTTATATTATTATAGAAACCATAAAATACTGAACTTGTTTAACGCATGATGGCAATACTAATTTTATAATTTCAATATTCGTTCGTGTTAGTCTAATAATTATAAATTATTTTTAACTGTAATTGCCTTTTGACAATGTAACTATTTTCTAAAATAAAATAATTCATTATTATTAACCGTTGTATAATTACGCTGATAATTATTTAATTACCTTGTATAAATGTGCTTATTTGATACATGATTGATATATAAAAAAGAACATTCAATGCCATTCCTAAAAATCAATTTAGCCACTACAAAACTTCGGGTCCAACTTATTGAAAATGACAGAATTTGTTCAATTGCAGCTTCGTACAGAACGCAAAATATAAATTGATTCGACATTAGATGTTGATTCGATTACCATCTTAACAAAATAGCAGAAAAATCTGAATTACCTTAGACCCAAGTTGCGATTCAAAGCTTTTTTCCTTTCAATAATTTATATTTTATTCATTTTATTACTCATATATCCATTTGAAATATCGCTGGAAATTAGTGTTAATGACAAACAATTTAAATTTCGTACCCGTCTTTTACAAATCCCATTATTTATTCCCCAAAGATATATTTCAACGCTGAATTTTCCATATAACCTTAGTGGGGTACCTACTTAATTTTTAGAAAGATACAGTGAGAGATTTTTTCTCGTGAAGATGTCCTGTAGCTGTAGATTTGAGGCAATAAATAAGTAGTGTGTGTACGTTTCGTCCCAAGGTACACCCGTCTCAGGGTACAACAGTGTCGTCTATACCTTTTAAGTCGACAAAAAGGAAACTTTGGTACACCAATGGCCCCATTTAATAGTGCACTTAATAATTTTAAGTAAGATGGAATTGTATCTTATAATAAGAATATCATGAGAAGCAATTTGGATAAACACCATAATAAATATTTATGTTTTGCAGAACGATTTTCAGTATCATTTATTCTCTTTCGATTCTTAGTTTGGATTAGTATCACCACATCACAGAATTGTCTTAAGAGCATTGGTTTAATATGCCTATGCAAAAAAGGTTAATGAATTAAAAGCATTTAGAGCAAATTCTGAAAGCATGATAGGTAAGTAGGTACTGGCTAAAGATATAGTATTAAAAAGTATTTCATCCTAGAACTTTGCTGACTCTATTAATAGCAATTAGTAGCGATAACCATGTCTGAAAAAGTGTCTGATCGATTGCTTGTAAAGTTTCTGTCTGGTAGCGACAGTAATAAGCCAGACTGCCTAGACTACCAAAGACAAGTGTGCACCTTTCCATACCTTCTCAACTGCTCTTCAGCCACTTTCCTAGCTTTTTTCTTGCTCTTGCTAGTGGGATCTACCTGGTTCAATAGCCATTTGATACTCCAAAAAGTAACTGCAGACACTAGGGTTAGTCTCACTACTAAACTGACGATTTCAGTCCTTGTAAATGGTAAATCGCTCATAATTAGAAAATAGGTGTTGCGCGAAGGTTCTCAAAAACTGTTATACGAAATATTGTATCGGATATCGGGTAATTTTTTGTAAAGTAGGTACATACATAGAAGGAAAATAAAGTAATTGTCAAAAATCAAAATGATTGATAGATCAGGTTCACCCGGTTTCAGTTTTGACGTGTTCTGACCGGTAGTAGTTCCACCTGTGGAAAACAATGTGAAGCAGGTGAAACTCAAAGGAAGGTTTACGTGCTAGTTTTAATATCGGTAATTTGGCTTAAGATAAATAAAAAACAAGAATTTCTGGTGAAATAAACTGTGTTTATTTACTCTACTATTTAAGAATAAAGTTTAAATATCAGAATTCAACTTTTCATTTTCCCGAGAAGGGCCACCGCTGTTCGATTACAAAAGAAGAAATTTTGGTCTTAAAAGGAATAATAACGCTTTTGATATTGGTAAGAATGGTAAGATTTTCGTCTATTTCTCGAAAACTCTTATTGCAACACTAATTTATCAAACGACTCTATGCAAAAAGAGCAAGAAAATAGGGTGCATATGTCGTACTATGACGCAAAACAATGACTATGCTATAGATATAACTGAAATATTTCCGGCGGTTTTAAATCGACTGTGCAATATTTTTAATACATTTATTACGAATCGCGAAACAATCTCATGAATATGCTTTTTCTTTGAAATAAATATTAATGTTTCACCATAAAATATCATTCGATCATCCAATAATGGCTTTAAAATCTATTTCCTCAAAATTATTATTTTATCTAAGAACCTCTTTATTTACAGTCTGCCTGCACCAATGATTGAATATATTTTTTAATGCTATGGAAAATCACTTGCGTACACTGACCACAACCCACAACAAAGGAAATATATTTTGCATTTATTTGGAATTGCTACAGCTTTATTAAACGTTTGAGTTTCTGTTTTATGTATTTTAAAATTATTTTTAAATACAAGTACCAATTAATCGTCGATAATTTAGAACTTCTGCTTAACGATATTAACCTCCATACTATCGAGCTGCCCAACATAACCAATGCGCCAGTTGTCAAATCGGAAATGTCTGTCCGATTTTGATGTTCCAGTTTCGTTTCTTAGACAAAGACCGATTTGACAGAGTTTTAACTTTTTAAGAAAAATGATATTTATTTTTCTAAATAAAACAGTTAATATAACTTGAACGGCACCGACCCAAGTTTTCAGCTAGGACACTCGGGTTGGGGTACCAGTGATTGAAATGGGGAACAGTAAATTTCGCCGTGTTCTCGTACACTAAAAAGGGATTTTTGTGATTATGTGAAGTAGGTCTGATCTAGTGCCAATAGATTCGTTTTTATTTATCTATTATTTCATGATAGCCAAGCTGTGATTACTTTAGTTCAATCAGCCCTTATGTTAGTTGTTCCATGTTACCGAGTTCAAATTTGCCAGTGATCGTGGAGTTTCAACACCTTCGGAACTCTTTGCATTTTTTATGGGTGTCTGTGTTAGTTGCAGAAAATCCAAAGATCGAGTTAAAGCCAGCGTCAAAGGCAAGTCGTATTCAAGTTAGTCAATTATTACTTAATATATCTTACAATAACAGCACACAGTAGATCTGTAGAGTAGGTATAACTAAAGTCTACTGAATTTGGTTACAATTGGCCTTTATTACACAAATGGCATGTAGCATCATATTTCATTTCCATGTAGATCCAGATTTCATTACCTAATGTAGCAAAATGATCAAGTACTGTGTGATTTTAGTTACACCAAATCTTTAAAACATCAATATTCAAATCAAGAAACGAATTGTTGCTTAAGTATCACAAGAGCAGTAAGTTTCAGAATTGACGGTTTTTTCATTCAAAAAGTTTTGTCAGGAAAAGAAAATATCGTAGTCTGTAGGGGAAAGATCCAAATGGTAAGGTGGATGTGGTAAAACAGATCGTTCCAGATTCCGAATTTTTCTTGAGTCACGAATTACGTGTTTGCGGTTGATGAGTACAGGTCGCTTTTCATGGAGTTTCTTTTGCACTGTATACAATTGCTGAACGTATCTAGATGCAGTAATACTTAAGTAGGTAACTTTGACTTCAACAACTCGTGGCGAATTATTTTTCTACAATCCTACCAATGAAATCGTTTTGCAATGGATGTTTGCTTGATATTGTCATAAATAACCCAGTTTTCGGCGCCTGTTATAATCTTGTTTAAAAAAGGCTCAATTTTACCCGTAGCAGCAAATTTGTTACTTAGCTGCATTGAAGTTACTTATAACTCGATCTAAGCAATAGAAAAAAATTCGCATAATTTGTTGGAAAAGAAAACTGTTAAAAATTGTATCAATAAACTTCAATTAGCATATCAAAACAGCACCCATTACTAGGCTAGTGCAAAAAAAATGTTGAAAAAAAAATAAGTACTAAGGCCAGGTGGAAAATGTTGTTGATGTTCCCATTTTAAGAAAGATAAAATTTAAACACAACTAACAGCAACAGTGCCAACTAAATCACTAATAACTTTGATACCACGGTGTAATTGCTTGTCCACGCAGGTAAGTAAGCCGCTCATGCAAATAATATGTAAAACAATTTTATTAGAATAGCAGACATTCCTTAAAAAGCATTGCTATCAAATTCACTGATCTTATTTCGATCTTTGTAATTAATGTTCTCAATTCCCGTTTACATTTAGTTCTAATGAGGTTGTACCCCCGTAGACAAGGGCTTTCATCCATAGATGAAAGTGACTAGGTACCTGCTAAAAGGTACAAAATATATTTTAATACAAACATTTTTTTGAAACCTTACAATCTGTAACATGTTTTGAAATTGCAAATACGCGGTGAAAAAACGAGTGTTTTTTCAATTTCCGGTGTAACCCGAATTGTATTGTACAATTTACAGTTTTCTGAAATCTGTATATCGACTTGCCTGTGTTTCCCAATTTAAAATGTTCTCTGGTAAGAGTGGCGAGTTTTTTCTTTGTTTGTTAACGGTCTTTATGGTGGGAGACCTTGTAGCATAGACAAGTTGTATTATTTGGGGTTCTATAATCTATTTTAGTACTTATTGTTTATCTCATATTTAAAGCTATTATCAATATCGTATATATTTGCGTTCCCATTTAAATGCTATTTGTTAATTTCAGGGCACTGTGGTAGTAACAAAGAGTTTGCCGGTTTTATACCCTCCAAAGCATCGAAGATATGTCACAACATCCCAGTTGTAGTGCCAAAGAATGATGAAAAGTGTTCGAATTGTCTAAGCAAAAAACCTGTAGGGGGCAGTCCCCGTTCTGAGACGATGGCTGCCTCGTTTTCGAACATGAATCTAACGAATCCCATTAAAGTCATTGTCAGCAAGAAGCGAAATCGGTACAAGCAGGATGGTTTCAACTTGGATCTTACTTGTATCCTTTTTGTCAAATTCAATTTCATCGAAAGACCTACTGTTTTAATTTGTTGATTTCAGGCCAATGGCACAAGGCCGATGATTATGTATTTTCAAACTTCCTTACTTTATATTCGTTTGTAAGATATTTTTTTTACTGAAGCTATATTTTCTACCTAAATTCGTTTTATTTTGGGAAATTATTTTCTTACTGGCAGAAGACAAATAGCGCTGTTTACTGAGGATCAATTTAGTTAAGACCTGAATGAATTTGCAGGAATCTTTTAATAATCCCTCAAAATATTCCAGGAACCGTGAATAGAAACTTTGATGAATGACTTGAAATATATAATTTTAAAACTGTTTGTTCTTTAAGTATTTTCCTTGACAATTTTAGACATAACCGATAGCATTATAGCAATGGGTTACCCCGCCTCGAATATTGAAAGTGTTTATCGGAACAACATTGAGGATGTTGTAAAGTTTTTGGACCAGAAACATCAGGACCATTACATGATTTATAATCTGTGTTCTGAGCGAAGTTATGACAAGACAAAATTTCATAACAGGGTGAAGGATTTTCCTTTTGATGATCACAATCCTCCTAAAATTCAGTCTGTTGAACCATTTTGTGAGGTAAGTTATATTTAAAAAAAAATTGTTTAGCTGCAGAACATATTTAAAGAATAATCATATTGATATATTGTATTATTACATGTAAACTAAGCGCCTCGACTCGCTGATGTCGAAGATCTGAGTGAAGGGGTGGTTCCGGTGATGCCTACGATTTGTCTCGCGCGGAATATGATTGTCCCTGCATATTTTGGTATTATGCGCAAAAACAAACGATAAAAATCTAAATTAAAACCGTATACAGTAATACGTATTTCTGGAACGCAAACTGAACAATTAATAAAGAGGAATGAAAAGATTAAGAAAGTGAAACTTAAACTATGTCTGATGTTTGAAATAGTTTTACGCAACGATAATGGTGAATAGCTTGCAGGTGGTGATCAGATTATCACTTGCTGTGGTTCTCTTTTGTAAAGGCTCACTTGGGGCGCAGTCAATGGATTACATGCGTAAACGATTAGGTCCATCAGGTATTCGAAAACTTAGACCGCTAACGGATGCGATTGAACCGGTTCAGCCTGTGGTTGATAGGGTGAATCTTGTGTAGGGTTTTACAATCGACCGTGGATTGTTAAAGCCTATATCTCTGGAATCTCTTTTTACTCGTTTTTTTCCCACTTCCAAAGCACATCAAATCGATTGGAGATTACTAGTTCGGGCGAGCGGTGTTTTGGACGACCGAGAAAATTCTTGAGAAATGTATTTTTAATATAAATCTTCAATGAAACGGGTTTTTGTAATATGCTAAGTAGTTGCCACTTGTTTTTGGTTACGGGGAACTTGAAAAGCGTTCAAGTGAAGCCCATCTAGACACTTTAAAGAGCCTGCAAAATCGTAGAAACTAGGGTGTTTTCACGTATTCTGCACGTCAATGCATCCATATTAGAGCACACCAAACCTGCCGCTCTGTGCCTTATACTTGCGCATTTACAAACTAAGCTGGACAGTTTTGAGCAATTTTCTTCTTTCTTCTGTATAGGGTTTATTTAATATGTTTTTAATAACGTTTTTTTCCTTAGATCTGGCAGATTACACATTGATTTTCTTTGCAAATAAGTAAACACAACGTACAGTGCGCTATTATATCAAAATTTTGGACAAGTTGGCGAAGGCGCCAATAAAGCTAAATGAAACCAGCCTTAGAAATACCATTTTTCTACCCTTTAGTTAAACGTAGACAGCCGCGAGGCAAACCTTTGAACAGAAGGGTCTCATTCCAGTTGCTGCAGATTATTGCATCTCTAAAAAACCTTTTTTCTCGATATATTGGCCAATAAATTGGTTCAATTATTGAAGGTTATCTTCTGGGCCGTTATTGACTACACTGGAATATTGTTCTCACAACAAATTGGTGCAATTTCAGTAAAACCAACATAAGTAAATTTCATACTTTACTTAATTTGGTTGTTTTGTGTTGATAACGACCTGTAGGTCATAGCACATGAGTTAAGAGCCAAATTCTTTGCGTAGGTCTTAATAAACTGACTAATTTTCTTAATTGATTTGCTAAAGATGAGAGATGCTAACTTGTTGCATACAACATAGATTTTCAACATCTGAAAGACAATAAAAAGAAAAAATCCCTAATCGCTTGTTACTTCGAAGAATCGCTGCCAACATCGTCATTATACGCTCTTCGCTCATATCTGGCGAAATTTAGTGGCCAATAGATCGCTGAAAGATGCATGGTGTAATGCCGGTATTACGCTACGCACTGTCGTGTATGCACAGATTTATTCGCCAGTAATAATAAGTCTTGATTTTTATTTAATTAAAATCCCATAACGTAATATCGCCTCCCAATTTTTTCCAATTCATTGCTGATATTGCAGTATCTCAATTTATCAATTCACTGCAACTTGAGAACAATATAATATGAACGTAAAATGCAATCATAACTATCAAAGTGCCTGAAAAATATGTTCTCATCAGTAATTAACTTTTCCTTTAGGATGTTCAAGAGTGGCTAGCAAAAGATGCGCGTAATGTTGCTGTGGTACATTGCAAAGCTGGAAAAGGTCGAACTGGGACTATGATATGCTGTTATTTGCTTCATAGTAGGACTTGTTTGACTGCAGATCAAGCTTTAAGTCTATACGGTACGTATTGCAATCACCACCAATCACCAATGTAAAAACACAACAGAAAATAGTGGAGATATTTCGGTTACTATATTTTCCACGCTAATTAGAAATACTGTTAGCCAAATCCGATTTTATGTTAAGGGGGTAAGTTTTATGTTATGTGGGCTTAAGGATGTGACGACAATCAACGCTATTTAACTAACCCAAACTCATCATGTTAGCCAGATTTGGCACCTTCTGATTATTACTTCTCCTGGTCTCCACAATTTTTCCAGACGATCAAAGCTTTACTTCAGAGATGAAAGTCAAAAATCATCTGAATCAGTTTTTTGTCACCAAAACCATGCATTTTATGAGCGTACAATCATCCTTTTACCGGAAAGATGGTAAACGGTATTTGGACCAGAATCAACGATCTACAAAATATTTCAGGAGGAGGGCGCATTATTTTAACCACGTATTCTACGTCCGAAAATAACAGTTTAATTTAATTCAAAAAATGCAACATGATAATTTTTTTCAAAACGCATAGAGATATTTTAACAACATTCTCAAGGGATCAATAGCTGGGTAAGACACATGTTTTTCAATAAAATAATTTTGTTAATTTTTGCCAGTTGCGTGCGTACCTGCGCGTTACCGAATTTGTTAAAGAAAAAATGCTACGCTACTATATTTTTTATTATTGCGATTCATTCCAAATTCCTCGTTGTCTTACAATAAAAAATATCTTGCATTATTTTTGTAATGTTAAGTCGATATAAGAGCAGTTTGAAATATCGAATTACTTCGTTGTAATTACAATATTGTAAACCGTATCTGATTTTGCAGGTGGCAAACGGACGCAGGACACCAAAGGAGTTACGATACCCAGTCAAGTGCGCTATGTCAGATACTATGAACAGCTGCTTAACAAGGGCCTCCATTATCAACCAGTAACACTGAACATTAAAGAATTTATTTTTGATCCAGTTCCGACCTTCATGGGAGGTCCGGGAAGTTTGTCTTTTATGGTGTGGGAGTCGTTCTCCGACCACAAATTGAGGCAAAAGTATAAAAGTGATGTGTGTAAAATTCCGGTGGACATTCATCCGTTCACGATCAAGTTGGACACGTGTTTTAGACTAACTGGTGACATTAAAATTGATTTCTACAATAAAATAATGATGCGCAAAGAAAAATTATTCCATTTTTGGTTTAATACGTTTTTCGTTGACGTGATGGGTTCCTCAAGTGCAATCGGTTGTGAGGATTGTTTCGAATTAGTGTTTAAGAAAAACGAACTTGATAAGCTAAGCAAGAAGGACAAGCAACATAAAATCTTCAGTGAAAATTTTAAGGTAAGCGTTTTATGCTGTATTTTATAGTAAGTAAGCGTTTGATTCATGCTGTGAAAATGCGACATCTTGCAAGATTTTTTTGCTATGTATTTTGCCCTCACATGGCTTTTTTGTTTTTTAAATTCAAATTTTTGTTTCTCATATATTATATATATATATTTTCCATTGCCTTACGTGTTTTTGTATTTTAATATCTGATTACTTAGTTGTTCAAATGTTGAGAGAAATTGCGACTTGCGTTCTACGTAATCACCGTCGACCGTGAGTCACCCTGTATGTACAGGGTTATTCAAATGGTTACCATCTTTCTGGTCGATTTAGCCATTAATTAAAATAATTATTTCTTGCTAAATAAAAAACAGTTTAATTGGAAAAATATGTTTAAATTTAATTTCCTAACCATTGATATAAATCGCTGTAGGACCTATTTCAACGCGTACACTTTACATGGTTTTTTTAATTAATGTAAGTGTATTCATAACTTGTGACTGAACTAGACAATTGAGAAGATTAGTTTAATGTGTGGAAGTTAAAGCAAAAATTGATATAACGCAGGACTTAATATAATAAAATGTAAATACTTATTTCTCAATATAACAGTATTCTGTTTGGAGGAAATTATTTTTCTGTTAAATCCTATATATTATAATCTGAACTGACTCAATTTTTTTTACTAGTTGAGGATGATAGTGCAAAAAGTTTCCAAGTCCGACCACGCAATTGCAACATCTTATCCTACAGTATGGCCACCATTGCAAGACACCACACCCACCGAAAGCTCAGCGGGTTCTTCCGAGGAATCAGACGATGACGATGATTGGGATTCTGGTGAGCACAATGCTGAGTTGCCTCTCGTTAGGCCCCAGTGATAAATTAACTTATCAATATATTATTAAATACTTTGGAGTTGTTTGTTGAGTTGTATTTTGGGTCAGTTGGTAGCGAGTAGCGATAACTGATTATTAACGCCGTTTGCCGCTTGGGTATTGTTTCTGACCTCCTCTATTCTTCATTATTTTTTCCTCCTTGCTTTGTAGTACTAATAACAATAATTAATAACTGAACATATTCCTTGTTAGTAACATAACATTCAGCAAGTTTATTGTGGTCAATGCAAAACTTTTTTGTGATTGGTACTGGTCCAAAAAATGTAATTTGACTAGCAAAAATTACATTTGCTTTGTTGTTGGCAGAATTATATCAGATTTATTCAAAGCGAGAACACAATTAAATTTTCGGACAGTGATTAAATCTTATTCTGTTTATTTCCTACGCATTTCAGTGATCTGAGCTGGAAATATATACTTAGATCAACTAGTTGTTACTTAGGGACTTGCTCTGTGCTAAGGAAATAAACGCAAACAAGTAGCTTATCTGCGAATACGATTCTTTTCAGTTTTGCATTTGTTTCTGCCGTTGAAAATATGGATCAAACAGCTTCGAATGTTTATTTACAGTCTACAGTAAGTGCACTTTTAGCTAGGGTCTAGTCAGAAGCACTACCTTCGGTCGGCTTTTTAAACTAATTTACTAATAAAACTGCTGTAAAATTTTTAAAACTTTAATGTGATTAAAATAGAATGTCTTCATCAACAATATTAAAAGATTCAGTTTATCTTGCTTTCGACTTGAATTATTACTAAATTTACGTTTTGGCTTTGTTAATGTAACGCTTGAAAGGATACTCACTGAATCAGCACTAGAATTGGTCGAAATAATCCATGAAAAGAAAATCCAACTAGTGACATGTACATAACTTTAAATTTGATCTATACATATTTTTATATCAAAAGTTTATGAATGGAAACGTAGGCGTAGTTGCCGTTGAAAACGAGACTTTATTAGAGAAAATTACCTACATTTGATCTTTACAATTTTTCTAAATATGTGTTTTTATTCAAAGCTACTGATTTATTTACAAAATAATGTGACGTTGCCTCAAATTGATGTTCTCAGAATTAACTGCTTTTGTGTGAATTAATGAATTATTTACTAATGGGTGAAATAGTTCATCATAGGTATAAAGATTTTCTTGTGATATCTTTCTGTCGCAATTTAAATTTTGACATACTCAAAAAGAAAAGTTTCTATTAATATTATGTGGATTCCAGAATGGAAACAAGCTAGATCGTTTATTTCAAAAAAAATGTGAAAGTGACCACAAAAGTTGTTTAATTTTACGCAAAATTTTTAAATCTGAATTTAAAATACAAATATAAAACACGAAAATATCAAAATTGGACATAATATATTTTTTTAAATGAAACACCCTATATTTTTAGACAGACCAATAGGATTTTTTCCCCGATTTTAAAAATATATATTTTCCTATATTTGTATTAGCCGTTTTTGTGCTTTTGTGTTGCTATTGAAAATTTTTAATACAGAAAAAACATCTAATACAAATCTAGGAAATCAAGAAAAAAATCCAATCGACCTGTCCAAAAATATATAGGATGTTTCATTAAAAAAATACTATGTCAATTTTTTTCATTTCCGTGTTGTATCTTTTTATTTTAAATTCAGATTTCAAAAAATTTTGTAAAATTAAACAACTTTCGTGTTGGTCACTTTCACAATTTATTTGAAATAAAGGATCTAAAGGGTCAACTTAAGCCCATGTCCCATGCATCCATTTATACCATGATACGAAAGTGTTTCTATTGGTTGGAGTTCTTTAGTTCGCACGACGACGGACGAATTGACACATCTTCAACCAATAGAAACACTTTCGTATCATCATATAAACGGATACATGGGACATGCGCTTTATGAGGAAACACCCTGTACTTGTAAAATAATCCCTCACTCGTTGGAGCACGATTCTGTTGAAAATATCGTCTTTCTTTATTTAGACGATGATCTATAATGACATGATCTATAAAAAAAATTAAATAACATTTATATTTGTCCCTGACTTTTGTGTTGTTTATTAGCTTCAATCGTTTTAAAGCTTCGCCGTCATTTCATTTTGCTTGCGTTATGAAATATGTTCATCATAATGTGTAGTAGTATACCTAATAAGTGAATGTTGTGTTTTGTGTTTGTCATAGTGATATATTAATTGGTGTTGGCCGAGAATTTTCTTTGTAGGAGTTATTGAGAACGTCACAAAGAAAGTTTTCATGTTTGGAATTATTTTTCGAACCTTGGACGGAGTTAATTGTTGAGGTACATGGAGAGCCTAATTGCCGATAGTGCAGGTTTATGTGTAAAATGGGTTACTTATTAATTGCATACGTTTGAGATCTCTTGGCATATACCAACCAACTTTCAAAATCGATAGGAACTGTTGCGTGTTCGAAAAGATCGCAATGATCAAATTGATTTGAAATTAACGGAAGCGTGCATATCAGCAAATTTTCTAATTTGCTTTGTTCGAGATACAGGGTGTACAAGTTAAATTAAATGTTTGTTTAACTTTAAAGCTTCTTTACTAGTTCTGCGATTACCACTCAATTTTGGTGTTCTTTTTCTGAGAATGTGAGACTACATTTTTTCACTTGCGTTATTTTTTTCTTGTTAAATCCCTCCTCTCTTTCGAAAGTCTGAAACATTGTATTAATATATACCGAGATTCTATTAGCATCAGCTAACAACAAGATATCAGATCAGCTAACACAAGTGTAAAGTAAACACATCTTGAAGATTTTCTTCGGAAAATTGTTTTTTTGTTGTTTGTTAAAACAGCAAGGCAAAAGCCTCTTTTACATAATAGTGTTAATGGAACTTAGAATGTTAAAGGTAACCTTATGCCACAAGACTGAGTACTTGGTAACAACGAGTAGCTAGCGTTAGGCTCTCCAACTTCAGATCCGATTCGAGCCCGATCAATCAGACAAAAGCATAGACATTTTATAACTGGCACCGTTATACGAATTTTCTCTATTGCAATATGTTACCTACTAGACAATTAATGTCTGTGTAATTGAGTTAATCACATACTTTTGCGGAGCTAAAATACACTAGCTTCTATTTGCCAGTTATTATGTCTATTCCATTTTTGCTTCCCATTTTATTAAAACACTAACCTAACATGGCGGATTCTTCTGCTTTCTTCTTTCATATATCAGTGGTGGTGGATCCGGAGTTGTTCGATCCGCGGGGAGTAGGATATCGCATTCTGAGCGAGTGCGAACTAGCATCGCAACTCGCCTCGACCAGTGGCGAAAATCACTCGGAAGTTTTGATGGTGTGACCGCCGTCGTAAGAGAAATGTTGTGTGCTCTGGGTTTTATTTTCTTGAGTGTTTTAATGAAAAAATAAGTTTTGCGTCGCGGGCGCCTACTTTCTTCTGAAGTACTAAATTATTATAGAGTGTACATGAATCTTTTCGACGTGACTTGTTTCTTCATAAAGCAACCCAGCTCCATAACTACACATTATTGGAAAATTTGTCACATCAAGTTTGCAGACTTTAAATCGGAATTTCTAAGAATGGGTTTAGTTTTTGTACTTGCGGTTGCAGTTATTTTTCAGCTATGGCGATTATTTTCCATCATCTACCTTCCGTTTTCAAATCAATTATTTGGGTTTTTTTTTTATTTATTTTTAAAACTGGGTCACCTCTCTACAGGGCATCTCAAATTCAAGTAGCAGAATAAAGCTATTGAAAGGCAGGCGAAAATGTATCGGGCGTGTATTGAAATGAACGAAAGTTGTATTGGGAACTGAATAAAAAGCACATAAAGAATGTTCATAAATATACAAGATTATTCAGGTTGTATGACCTAGAAATTTGCGGCCGAGGTATTTGATTTTTAGTTGTTTTATGGATAACATACTGCATGCTTACCAGGAGTACATTTAAAATTTATTTTGTAATATATATGGTTCTTCTTTTACTAGATTCAACCCAAAGTTATATATTTTTTAATAAAATGCTCTACGTGATATTATGTTATTTTTTGTGCACACTAATAGCGTAATAATATTAAGGGCATTTTATTTAAAAAATTGCAACATGTATATTAAGGGCATTTTATTTAAAAAATTGCAACATTGGGTTGAATGTAGTATTTGGAACACGCTGTACATCACGTACACATTTAAAACAAAAAAAAAAACTTTTTTGAGCCACACAGTATGTAATTTTTGCATAAAATCGCGTATTCTCCAATGTATTTTATATATAAAAAACTACCTGGAAATGGATGATTTGAACATCTGTTTTCGAGATATTTGATGTGAAATATTATTTTCGTGATCAACATCAAGAAAAAGTTAATAATATTTCTTTAATAGCTATTGTATCGACACAATATTCTACTGGAGGGTTTGAGGTGCAAAAGTAAAATTTACCATATTGTTCAAAGTATTCCTCAAAAGCATTGATTTATGGAAAATGTTGGTCAGCCTACTGAAATTGAGATACCCTGTATTAACCAATATATAAAAAACATTTTTGCCCTATGAATCTACATTAAGTGGTTAATATTTTAAATATAAGACGTAAAACTGCGGGATATTTTGGAGCGACTGCTTTCTATTATTCTTTTGTAAAGTATACCATTGTAACACCGTTTGTTACTACGAAAATACGACTCAGAACTTACTTTTTCATAGATTTCCATGACACTAAAATTTTGGATGACTTGAAGAACAATATATTCGAAAAACTACTAAAACAGAGTAAATAATATTTATTCGATTTCACAAGTTGGATGTTTATGAGTGCTCATAAGAGATCGTATTAAAGAAAACCAATCGATCCAATTTACAAATGCAAATATGTGCAACTGATAATATCTGAAATATTGCTTTTCCAATATTGTCACAGTTTTTTAAATTACGTTAGATATTTGTATATTGATTCTAGATGTTTTTGATAACTATTTCATATATCTATATATTCTGAATAGCACAGAGGTGAAACTAGTGATTGTAAATGGCTTTTGATATGACTCTTTCTCAATTGCGACTCTGCCATCGATTATTTCTGCAAGACGAGTACAAACCTATTTATACGTTATCTATTGTAGGTAGATGGGAAAAATATACATGGCATAAATATTGGTCATTTTAATAAAGTCACATACTTAAAGGGATTTTATAAACATCTTGTCTAAAATCAATGTCCACTAGAAATCAGATGATGCAATGAGGCAAACCTTAGGACAATCAAGAATGGACATTTAATTTATTTCTGACATCCGAAGACAATCATGGTTTTTAAAAATATACTTCTACTTCTAAAAATATATTTGTTTTATTATTTAATGTTTTCATTGCTTAGTTCGTATGAAAAACGAAGCTTAAATTCGATAAACATTGACACAAATCCACGAAAATGGCCCCAAAAATGTTTTAGATCCGTTCCTCGGTTTTCAGAAAATATCGATTGTTTCGATATTTCCCTTGGAATAATTATGCCTCTAAAGTAAAAAATATCTAAAAGTTTCCTGAGTTTATATGCTTTTTGTCTGGATATTGACTATTATAAAACTTTTCTATTCGAATTGTTCGTTTTGGAAATATCGCAGCTCGTTTTCATGAAGACTTGCCAGCACTATCCACGGTAATCCGGAATAAATGTAGATCGTTGCCAAGTGCCAAAAATAAAAACATTTTATTATTATTATTATGTGAAGTGCGTAAATTTTTTCATGCGTAGTACGGATGCGCGCGCACGTATTGCACTACGCGTTCCGAATAGCATTCCTTACACATGAGAACCAAGTTTAACTGAAACACTAGGAATGCGTTACATAATAATTGACACCAGCAAAAGTATTTAGACATTGTGTGAAAAGTTTGTGGTGTCATAATGTGTGAACTATTGACACCTAAAGCTCGTTCACACGGTGACATTAATGTCGTGACGTGAATTCCACAACAATGTTATTGTCTGAACATGTCTCAATGTCATGTGACGTGACGTTAGTCTCACATATCGAACTTGTTTGATATACGCAACCGCGACATCGTGACACTGCCACACTGACACTGTCTCGGTGACATTTTGACATTTCTTGGTTATCAATCTTTGGCGTGATATTTTCACTTGATTTGGTTTTAAATCATGTTCCATTTTGATTTTATTACATTTCTACTTCTATTCTTACTTCTTCTAACACATCCGCTATTGCAGACGCGAGTTCCGTCATTTTGACAAGAGTCTGTCGCGACACTATCTGTTGGTGAGTGTGAACACTTAGTGCCATGACATCGAATGTCAAATTTGTCACATAATTAGATCTCACGACATCGATATCACCGTCTGAACGAGCCTTCAGAACAGTGTTGTTCGCTTGGCAAGAAGGAACTGGATAATAAGTTGATGATGGTTTCTAAGAAACGAAACGTTGAAATGCATTTTCATAGATCTTCGACCATCTTCGATATCAGATCTCGAAAAGGTGCCATGCGAAAGAATTTTTTGTTTTTTCATATGATGTAGAAATAATTTTGATATAAAAACGAAAATGTAAAATCTCTTTCACTACCAAGATTTCTAATGGTAACTTTTTCAATTTGCATTCTCGAGATCATGTATATTTTTCCGTAATAGTAATAGTCGTAGATACTAATAAATAATTAGTTATATAAACAAAAAATAACCTTGTAGCATAGAGTATTTTCTGTTACTACTAATTAAAAGTTAGCATCTTTTAAGGAAGACTTAACTTGCATTTTTACTAAAACACTAACCCTTCGTTTCTAGATTTGCTGGGCTAAGAGGTAATTGTTTTTTTATGTAATAAGCTAGAGACATGAAGCATATTATTTGCTCAAATTTCCATAACTGTTTTAGAACGAAACTGATTTTACGCTTTATAATCTGTGGTTTCAGCTCGTGTATCGTAAAAATTGGCCATTTCTAACTAACGTCTACATTTTGCAGGGGAATCAACATACCTATGATATGGGCTCTACGTGTCAAAGTGGAAAAGATGTAAATATTGCATGATTGTCTATCATTCATAACGTTTGCTTGTTGCCCTTTCACGCCATGCAACATGGGGTTGTGTATCTGACAATGTGATGTTGCTTATAATTGTGCTTTACATGCCTTCCTCAAACCGATCACTTTTATAGGGTGAGACATACATTAGCATGTAGAACTGTCTATTTAGGGCAATCGTTTAAATTATCGCTCATTTGCTATACTTTATGTCATAGCTTTTTTACTAGTTGAAGTGATAATATACAAATAAGATAAAAAATTTAAGTGCTCACTATCGGTAACTTCTCATTGTTTGTATGAGAAAACAGACATTTACCCTTATTACTCAGACACCGAGATTTGAGAGTATTCTTTGAATGGAAAACAGACGTTTGTCCTGTGGAAATTTTTTACTATCTACAATAGAACTATCATCAGCATTTATTTATTCATTATCATCCACAATCCACTGGATTTAAATTGGTAGCAGTTGTGTGCTCAAGTACACTAGTATTTTTTTATAGACAACACAATGATGCTTGGAACCAGGGAAATATGGCGCTTGGCCCAGGAATAAGACATCATACCTATTCCGAGTTGTTTCCCTTGGTAAGTGGTTATCTTTCGTTCTATACTCAACCTTTCCAATTTCGGATTTTGCTGTTCATGTGAATTATTCTCAGTGAATCTACTTAAATATATTTGTAGTGTTAATATTTAAAAATAAAAAGAACTTGGTGTGCCCTTTTAATATCACATTCTCTAGCTAAATATAGTGTGCTCTTAACTTTTTAGACTCGGTAAAAGGCTAAAGGTTTTTATACGTTTACGACGTCTCTGTTTGAATTTTTGCTCGATATAATATTTGATTTGTGCGATTTATATCTATTCAAATGCTAGATAATGCTAAACGATTGCTGCATGGTGTAAAAAACTACCCAATGTCATTCAGTTTTATTACGTAATTTTTGCTGCTTTTGCTAAGTGTTTAAGCAAACACTTTGTTAATAATTTGTAAATTTTTCAAATATATATTTTTCTTTTAAAATAAAGAGACTAGTACAAAATATTTTATTATTTGATCTCAGTTTTTATTTTTATGATAAAGTCTTGCCTAAGTTACTGTTCAGAATTATTTTAAAGTGTAACGATTCCTAGGTAACATTGCCTCCATTATTGGATAGTAAAATAATTATGTATATGTGAAAAGGCCTTTTGTTTGAAATTGCAATAAGCTTTTATAAATTGTATTAATTAGGGTTTAATTCTCTAAAGGCATTTTTTTGCCTGAAAGAAAAAGTGCCTAACATTTTGTATCGATCTTAGATTGCTAATATAAGTTTACTTTTAATTTTTGTTTTGTAAATATTAAGCATTAGCTTACGTTGAAATACCATACTTTGATATTTTGCCGCGTGCAAGTGAATGACATGGCTTTTTTTTATGATAAAAAATTACTATTTGGGAATATTTTATTGCTTTTTCAACATTTGTGATTCCACTTGTTTATTTTAATATTTGTCTGATTTGATTGCTGGATTTTATCAAAGTGAACAGTGAAACTCCATAATAATCCAACTCAATCTGGTCATGTTTGTTCAACTCTAAGTGTTTCTGGACATGTAAAACTTGCCATTATAAATCACCTGTGTTGTCACCATGTTCCTATACTTATATTCACGTAAGTTCAATTAATATATTAACTGCCCTATTTAATATGCACCTAAGATTATATGTTATTTGGTTTCATTCAAAATGATGCAGTTATTGATCTTCGTTTGATATAATTTATCTTTTTACAACTTTATTTTACGAATTTTTGTTTAAGGCGCAAACCGTTTCAACTTAGTAGAGGAAAATGAAACTTTTTTTATGTTCAAATTACTTTGATGTTAATGAAGAAATAGATTGACTTTTCCTAATGGGACAATGTAATGTTTTTGCGATTTTCTTTATTCAGTTTGGCCTCAGTGGAAATGCATTTGCTTGTGATTCAATCAATCATGCTTCGCATTCGGATATTATTAAGCGTGTTAATCGCTGGAAGAAGCTCTAAATAGGGTGTGGGATTTTTTAATTTCTAAATTTGGCCAGTTGTGACTTAATCTGAGGTTGTAACGTTAGGATTTCGTGTTCAGCATGAAATTATCAGTCGGGATTGAAGAGTACTTTTGAGCAGATATATTAATATCTTTATAGTATTTGACTGGCTTAACTAGAATTTTGTCAAACCAACCGCCTCGTTTTACCTAGTTTTAATTCTTTCGACGACGGTACACTAATTGCCGTAAGGTTTCTATTAACTCTATTATTGGCATATTTTAATCATTGATATTTTAACTTTCAACTGTGATGACTTGTGTGATCAGTTCGGCGACTTGTTTCTGTTTCTTTGTATTTTCCAATTTTTTTATCTACACTTGCCCCCTGATTTGGACCGTACAAAGTTTAGATTACTAATCCAATGAAACAAACATTAATAGCCAGACACTAAATAATGGCCTGATGATGCTGAAATAAATTACCGAAACACAGACACACTTAACAAGAAAGCTTTATTTGGTGATATTAATGTAAAATTGTATATACTGTAAATATTATAAATTACCTAATTAATGCAATTATGAAGATTATGTTTACAATTACTATTAATTATTAACAATTAGCCAAATTTGGTAGGCTGCTATCCGTATTTGAAAATACATTTATAAACATTTTAGAAATTACGGAATATACTCACTCAACTCGTTAATGAAATTCCCTGCATATTACTATCAAATTCAATTCTTGCAAACATTCTGAATACTTTTTGTGCATTTGGTTTATTCGAACTGTCTTTGCCTTACAGATATATAAACCTGTAGCACCTACCTTATAAAACTGTATAAATAAATGTTAGGCCTGTTATAAAATTTTACGTGTTTACGTTATGTTACGTTTATTAATATTTACTGCGAGTATTACAATAAAAAAAAGTTTTTCCAAATTTTCGTTTGCTATATTTTGTGGCTCGTCCTCATCGAGTATAAAATATGCACCTAACTGCCAATTACTGTAAATAGAAGAGTAATTTAAATTGGATTAAAATATATTTTAATGTGCAATATATCTATTGATATGCTTCGATATCTATTCGTGTCGGATATTAATATACATATTTTTATGAAACGTTCGATATGATATATCGATATATTTATTTAGCTATTTGCGCTTAGCATTACTTAAAAAGCGTTAGAAAGCTTTAAAGAACCTCAGCCGTTCGACGCGGGTTTTAATTTGTTTATAAACCACACTACTACGTTTTTCTTTTTCTACAGCAGAAAGTTAAATTTTGTATTTTGAATATAAATAAAGCTAAATAATACATTTTTTCATAATGAGTTTATTGTTTCTATAGTATAATCTATTGTTTCGTTTATTAGTTGGTCCTTCTTCTCTCTTTTATTATCCCTAAGTTGTTTTTTAATTAGTTTGTTTAGTTCTACATACTCTGTTGTACCCCTTTTCTTTATTCAGTTGCTTTCGTTTTTCTAGCAGTCTCTTGAAATTTTGATCAATTTTCTCTTTTGGATTTGATCTGTTCTTATTTACTTCCTCAATGCTGTCTTTTAGGGTTCTTTGTATTTTGTCATTGAAACTGTTAATATCGAGTAAGTCATTCACTTGGGGGGATCCATTCTTCTCTCTACCGCTGTTTTAAACTGTTACGAATACGATATTCGAGTGTTTTTATGTTGATAAATATATTTTCTTTGTTGCTTTTTTTCGATAGCAACTATTGTTCGAATCAATCCATTAGGTATTAAAAGTAAGTAGCATTAGGTGCTAAAAAAATTAATAAAATCGAGTGTTTTTGTACGGAAAGTTAAACCGGTGGACGCCAAAAGAATACTGTATTAATTGCAATCGAATGAAAAATTGTCTACCTCGGGTAGCAAATTTTGGACTTTGGGCCGAAGGGTTTTTAGAAAACGCCCGGTTAGTCGACTTCTAGTCACATGACTTCTTATTTAAAACACTTAATCTTGCTATTTTTATTCAAAATATAGGTATAGATTCCTATAAAAAAGTTTTAATTAAACAAACAAAAAGTCGGTTTTTCGAGCCACGAAAAAATTACAAGGGTTGTTTTAATGAGATGTATTCTAAGGGTTAATTAGTTGCTGTTATTCAACATATAGGTATAGATTCCCCTAAAAAAAGTTGTAATAAAACAAACAAAGTCGGTTTTTTAGAGCCACGAAAAAATTACAAGAGTTGTTTTAATGAGATGTAATCTAATGGTTAATTAGTTGTTAATGCATATCGACATTCAAATTTTAAAAACTTAAAAATAAAACACAAATGTTCCATTGTTTTGAATATTATCCCTGCATGAAATTCCGTAAACAGAAATATTTATTCAAAAAAGTTTGAGTTGTTGCTTATTTTATTATCTATAGTAAAAAATATATTTTTGTCATTGTTAAATTTGTTGCCAGAAGAATTTTCTTTATTTTTTGGCCAGATGCAAAAGCTGCAATACTTTATTACGGATAATTACAATTTAGAGTTCTTCCAAGGAAAAAAAACGGCGTCTGCTTAAATTAAAATATTTTCATTTCATTACCAATATGGTTGCTCTTTATGGATAAACTATGAGAAAACAATTCTACTCGTTCTTTTAATATTCTGTTTGAATATATGGCAACTTTTAAAACAAAGTTATTCATTTGAATCACTTCGGATTCCCCTGCAGTTGTAGCATTTTGATATCGTACTTTCATGGTTTTTACTTGAACATTCGATAATATTGTTGTTTCCCTGGAAAAGCGTTGAGAACACAAAACTTGAGAACAAAAAACTGTTCACTTTTGTAAAAATTAGCGAAATATGTTTCAAAACATTAATGAACGTGTTTTGCATACAACTAAAGGTATGTTCAGTTATTAGTACTGATACCATGTAAAAATACTCCGAAAATGATAGTGATAGCAATATGAAAATAAGCCCCAAATAGTTTTAATGTCTAAAGTTTTCTCACTTCCCATTCGGTAGTACTTATACTTCCAACACATCTTATTATAAACAACATCAAAAATACGCACTATTAATTCTTCAGTAACATACAGTTACAAAATATCTTTTTTGTCTAAATTGAAAACACCCAGTGCAGACATTCAGTTGCATAGGCAAGCAGTGATGTAATTAAAAAATAATATGTTTCAATGGCAAAGTAGTACTTGTTTAAAGCAGAATAGAAAAATGTGATGTACATGTTGAAAATTTAATGGGTAAATTTGCTCTGTATGACCCGGTACTATGTGTTTTGATTAAACCAGGTAATCATCCAATAAAGTAGATTTTTGATGTGATATATCTGTTAGTTGGATTAATTGTGAAACTTCATTGGTAAACATTTGCGTATAATTAGGTCATTACCACTTAACTAGAACACAATGTACCAAGCAAACAGCTGAAAATGGTCAAGTATTTTAAGTAATTTTATGTTTAGTAGTTGAAATTGGCACAAATGTAATGGTCCACAAACCATAGATGCTATTTTACCGATATTTGTGTTACAAACATGTCACAGTTCGTCATTAGTGAACATAAATGTATCTATTAGTTTCAATACAACATATCTATACATTTATAGATGTATGTATGTATGTTGTAGAAAAGGTGTTTTATTTATAGTTTTATAAAATTATCAGTTAACTCTAGGGGTCACTAGTTTAAAACTCAGTCAAACTGCAATTTTTCAAAAACTGCCTTAAATTAATATTTTCGTTTTGCCTCCACTGCACACGGCCATCTAATTTAACGCGTTCGATATTCTAACATTCTTACGTATTCGAAACAGTACATTTGATCATATTCAGAGTGCAGTGGTAGAAATGGAAGAACTAGTCTGATACCTCCATTGGATTTTAAATGTTTAGACATTCCTTCAATCTTTTGTCAATCTATTAGGGTTTTTTAATATACATATATATTTTTTTGAATTGACCTTGGATGCGTTTTAATTGCTCTTTGAACCAAACAGTTTTTACGACTTTATTTTGGTAAATGTGATTAATATACGATGTTCGCCGTACGTATAACTAAAAAACCTAGCAAATATTTTATACTCAATAAATATATTCCTCGTTGTTTCCTCTTTGCAAAGTCGACCTCCCAACTATCAAAATACAAAAGCTCGTATATGGGGGACCTAAAAAATCTTATGGTAAACTCAGGTGTTTCCCTAGCACTAATGAATTTGTAATAATGACTGAAATAAAATAATGCTGACAGCAGGAGTTTTGAAAGCCAGGCAATTCTTATTAGGCACGGCTGTTTTTTTGTATCAAGTTTGGTCAGTTATAACTTTTTGGTGAGATAAAAACGTCTTGGATAAAAACACTAAAAGAGATAATATTAGATTATAGGTCTAAAACATTAATTAAACGGTATTGCCCTATACGAGAGTTTGCTCTTTGCGGTGTTTTATTTTCATCTTTGCTGATTTTTTCTTCGAATAAAGTAAAAAGGGAGGTCTGACCTATTTTCGCAGTTTTCATTTATTTGGTAGTTGATTTGGAAATTACGGTTTATCAATTAAATAAAATATATTTTAAACATACCCTGTACATTTGTAAATTGTTATTGAGCCTTTCATAATCATAACGTTTTAGAATCATAAATTGTTTTAGAGTTTGTCTTCGTTCAAGATAATTTTAAATAACATTGGAAAATTAACTCCCAAGTAGAAACACTTAAATAAAAGTTTTTGGTTTGGTATGATTCTGCGAAATTTCATTCATTTTTATTACACACTTGACCAAGTACCTCATTAATTGTAACATAAGTTAATATGACGTGAATAAATTAAGCTAAGTTTCATTTCTTTTTCGTACACTTGTTAGTAACTGTTTATTTCGCCATGTTCATTGTAGAGAGTTCTCATTTGTATATATTTATTGTAGATTATTGACCAATTAAATATTTGCTAAATCTATTTCTTTAGAATAATAATGTGTCGTTTCTAAAATAAAGTATCGCAATAAGGTTTGGAGTTAATCAGTTTCTGAAACGGACGTTTATCCGATTTTAAAACTAAAAATATTTATTTCTATACGAAATCAGGCTTTATTTCAAATAATTTAAAATGTAAAATTGGACTTTGTGATAGGATGGTATGATTAGTTAAAAATAATACTATTCGTACCTTAAATAAGACGGATAATATTTGTATATGTTCATACAGGGTGGTCGGAAAAGTAGATGAATTATTTCAAAAATACTTTTCTACTGCTGTAAATATCATTATCCGTCGTACATTTAAGTGATGGACCAGAAGTAGTTTCATTATATGCACTGCATATCTTCCGCCCTGTATGCTAAGAAATTATTTGTAGTGTGTAATGTAAAGTTTTATACTTATAAGAGTTTATTGTTAAATATTCTTTGTGATAAGTACATTTTAGTAGAACAAGTACAATGTAAGCCATTGGTAAATTGGAGCATGATAAGAAACATTTAGCGCGTTTTTTATATGTATACTCCTTGATATTTATTTTCAGATCTGATTGTGACCAATGGCTCCTTAACTATTTTCAAATACATCGTCTCTAACTTTATGGTCAAGTTTGGATGTGAATAAAAACTATCTGAAATAACCCGATGTTTTATTAGTAGACTTAACAGATTTTATTAGTTACTAGTTAGTAGACTTAATGATCTGTAGTCCCTCGTGCCACACTTTAAGAAAGACTGGAGCAACGTCGAAAAAGAGTGCAGAACAAACATTTTTTATTTTCAAATGATTCCGGCTTAAATCGATTATTCCGTGTGCTTATTAAAGCAAAGGGGTATTTGATGGAAACGGTCTAAAATAAAATCAGTTTCAATATAAATGTTTGGTATGTTTATTTCATTTCAACGTAAATAATGTACGAGATACATGGTATTGTAGGAAATCTGCGTGAATTTTTTAACCTAAGCATACACAACATACATACAGAGGTATACAGATACTTGTATCTGTAATACAAGAATATTTGCAATAAAAATGTAATAAAAAATATAGTTATTTTCTTTCCATTTTAAATATATGTACAGGCTGTTACCATATTAATGAACATACCAGCAGTGTATCTTTCGTTTTGATTTCGCTGTACACAAATCTTTCTACCGTAGCTGCTCTATCGACCTCGGCCTCTTCCCCGTTGAAAACTGCCTCTGCCTCTGCCGCTCTGGCTACCCTTTCCTTTAGGAGGCGGACTTTTTGGTCGCAAGGACTCTATTCGCTCGGTACAACCAGTGGTAGTTTGGTCGCTCGAAAAATAATTGGCATATATGTCTGGCACAAAATTTGAATTGGTTAACTCAGGACCAATGGTTAGCCAGCCAGGCCTAATTGTTGAATCTTTGCCGAATAAATGAAGACGCCGTCTACCTAAAAATCAAACCACTTTGTCTTGCAAACCACCAAAAAGGTTTGTTTGCAAGGCAACCATCTATCATAATAATTGAGTTACATACCCAGACAAAAGTGTTCGCTAATGTGAAATATTTCAACTGGTTTATCTAGACTTCCATATTCTGGTTCCTCGGAAATGATCAGGTCAATATCAACGTTGGCGTGGATAAAATCGCCATCGGTTGATCTTCGAACGGTACCTAAAGCATTGTAAAAGTGTTGTACCGTAAAATCAATCCCTCACTGTGTGTTACAAGATTCAAGAGAGAAAAGGAGCAGTACCTTTTATACCCATCAGGCAATGTTCTTTAGTTCTTTGAAACACTGCGCGAGGATCCAAGTTTTTTGAGTGTACTGGATTCTTGATATTCGTTTTTATCCAGCAAATGTCTTCACACCTAAAAGTTTACATAAGGGAATATTTACTTGCAGTCATCGCATTTTAATGAATGAATTACATATAAAACGTTGATGCAACACTTTTAAATTAGATATGGGTCTTCAATTACGTGAGGCCATTTTTCTTCGATCTATTAGAAGCGAATTGGGTTGTTATTACTACCTGCTAACCAGAGCCCTGATATAAAACGTTCGGCTTCCTCAGGATTACTTCAGATATTTTTTTACAAAATTCCAATCTGTTCATAATAAAATCATCCTAATTGGCATTTAAAGTCGAAATAAATGATAAAAAATCAGCGTTAGGAAGATTTTCTCGGCCTCAACGCGACTGCTTACCTTCTAAATCCCCATTTCCGTAGGCATACTCGGCCCATATCCAAACCATCTGAACTTCCGCACCAAAGAAATATAAAACTTCTTTGAGCTGCGATTTCGCCCACGTCCAAATTCATAATCTGATCCCAAGACCAAAATTGCATATTTGTGGCTCCTAAAGTCCTCTGGTACTCTTCTAATGGGGGTTCAATTAAAATAACGTCAAACTTACAGTTCACATTTTTCAGATCGTATGACGCCAAATCACATTTTAAATACATTGGAGGTGTAGCGGTTTGAGCTATTAACTCATCCTTTAAGCGTATTAGTTCTCTCAGCTTCGGGTATTCTTCGAACCTACACAACAAAGATAATTGCATGTATAAAATAAAAGTAAAATAAAAAGTACTTTCATTGTTTTATGTTTCATTAGATATCTAATTATTTTCATAAACTTCTTTGATGCTTTTTAGCCATTATAATAAACAAGCAGCTGGCCCTCAATCATGAAAAAGATTTGACGTATTTGTTTGGCAGAATACAATATAAAACTTAGCTATAAATACGCTGTAACGCTCATAGGTTGGTTAAAAAATATTTGACTGGATGCATGCTTGTCGCTGTACTTTTTGGTCAAGCTTTACACCGATTTTATAGTCTGGTTTGTTTAATCGTACTATATACGTTCATAAGCAAATATGTCAATCGACATATTATGTGGTCATATAAATTATTCGCCAAATCAATAGCATAGAGATTGCAGTGCGAACGTATAACTCTTATTTCAAAAGATTAACTTCTATATCTACTAAGTTAAATAACATACCTGTCAGCCAAACCCACATCTCTGATAAAATTTTGAGGTCTTTGCCCCGTGTCCACAAAATGTTGGCAATAGTCATTGTGTGGATTTGAAGATTGTGTACCCTTCAAAAAACGCAATTAAAAAAATAGTTTAAACATTATCCGTATTCCGTATATAAGGTCGTTTGAAATCGGCAATATTAATTCAACAGCTGCTCTAGCAAGTATACTAAATGGGGCTTTTTTAAGTGTGAACGAGAGAGAGATTTTTAAGAGATCGCCCATCGGACTAGAGGTACAAGAAAGGCAAAACTACTTTTATACATACCTTAAGAAATGTTGACGAATCTCTATAAACCATTTCATCTAAGGAGTCCTTTCCGTAATCATATTGATCAGCTTGACTGCTTGTGCTAGGTTTGTCATGAGACTTTTTCTTTGTTGGGATATCTCCTGTACCCAAAATTTGCCGCAATTCGTCAGCTCCAGAAACTCCCAGCTGCAAAAATTATAGTTTATAGTTTTATACCATGTGGGCTAAACAGTGTCGACAGAATTACCAGTAAAAAAATTAAAGATTACAAGTAGGTGCCCATGTAAGTAAGTACGTCATGCATCGCCAATTTTTGTTTTTTTTTATTTTTACTTAAAATACGCTTAAAATAAAGCAGTTTCAGTAAACAAAGCGTCAACAAAAAAGTGAACAAAACAAAAACATGCGGATGGTCCCTACAGTCATGCTAGAAAACATTTACAAACTTTTTTTTGAAAATTTTCCAAATTTAAGCTAAACTTCTGCTACCAAACTGCACAAAACGTTAAATGTAAATGGTAAACTAAACTAACCCAAACACTCCATTTAGAAAATAGTAAAAAATATATAAAAATATAGAAGCACATGAAAGAAATGCATCTCAGGTCCTATTTTTTCCTGATATTTGATCAGATCAAAACGTATAGTTTAATGGGCTCCTGTAATGTATCCACTATACGTACCGTTTGGGCAAGCAACTGTTTCCTTTTTCGCGATTTTTCACGCAGTTCTTTCAACATATCACCCATTGCTTTGTTTTAAAAAACACACAACTGAAAACTTCTTGGAAAACTATAAACAATAAATGCCACAATGAAACAATGAGGTTAGGAATCCTAGTAGTGTTGCCAACCAGATCCTCGCGAATACAACCAGCCGCAATCGATAGAAGTGACAGGACGTGCCGTATACCATAGAGAAAGTAAAATAACTCTATGCCGTATACCATAGATAAAGACGAGTATACCATAGAGTAAGTAAAATAAGTATATGCTGTATACCTAGACGCTTGTGCCCAGGGCAGCGTTAGTCTCACCCTGCACATTTTGCACTTGTTTTTCTCACTTTTATGAGATGTGTGCAAGAGAGATGCCAACACTTTATGCAATAAATTTTCATTTTTTTCCCGTAAATTTCTCTGAAACTGCTCAAAAATTCTACCTTTTTCAACTTGGAATAATTTTAAAATCAAACTGATCGACCCAACTTAAACTAAAAAATGCAACCAAAAAATCCCGATTCAAACTCACATCAATGTTGTCAGTTCACACCGGCAAAGAAGTAGAAGATATTCTATATTAGACCTCAGTATAACCTCTGGCAGATTCTAAAAGTAACATGGCGAGAGATCATAACATAATAAAAGCAAAGTAGAATAATCTTCTAAAGCTCATCCATATATGTGCAGCTCGGGGCTGAATTGCAATGTATTTGTTATTTAGGCGGAGTACTTCTTGTTTAAATCCTTCCGGGCTGTTGTCATCGCGCAGTTCAAGCGAAAGTAGAAGAGTAAATGTGACCGAAAAAACGTGCCTGTTATATAAATTTTTAAATATCAACTCAGGTAAACTAGCGGGCACTTTGTTGCCCATTTCAACCCGTAGGTATTTCAGTACCCACTACTGGAGCCCTATTAGGATCCCGCAATTCACATTCCTTATACATCTCTGAATCCTTAATCTCCAGGCGGTGTTGACTTAAAGCCCCATTTTTTAGGTCAAGTCAGGCATCAATCTTCTGTTACCAAGACCAGCTTAAACAAACTTGAGAAGAAAAAAAGAAAATCTAAATCTTCTAGAACCTACACTGATGTTCTGATTGGTAAGAAACGCCGTACTGCGGTCTTATTGTAGACACCATTTTTGAACCCCTAAACAATTACCAGTTTAAAACAGGGGTTTCAAAATTGGCAATTCTGCGTTTACTGTAAAGATGGCTTTAATGTTTGCGTGTTAAACACTGTTCATTTTTTAGTAAGCGGGGAGAAGTCGAAATTGAAAAAAGCCAATGTAACTAAACTGACACCGGATGATGTAAATTTACTCACCATCACCGACATTAGACTAAATGAACTGTACAAATTAAGGGCATTTTCTAGACCCACGTTTAGGTATTCACCACATACCTATAGGTAAGTGCATTTCCCACGCCTGCAAAACTGAAAAATATATCAACTATCTGTTCATGCCAATCTTCATTTTCAGTAATCTAGCAGTAGAATGTACCAATTATGAGCGAGAAATCGATCCCTCGCAAACCACATGTGATATTTTCCCGGAATTAGACTGCAACCCCTTACCAAAAGTCACTCCAGATACTACCGAAAATGGCGTTGCTGAACCTGACCTCGATACACCCCAACCTAAGCCAGCAACAGAAGATGCTGTTCAACCCAATATTGACCCAAATGAAGAAGTAGATCATGAAGAACTAGAATTGAAGACGTAAGTTGCTCACTACCTGGCTTAACGATTTTCAAAAATTAACTATTTTTCAGTTTGACTGTAAGGGATTCGCTGCAGCCGGAAGTGATTGAAGACGACAACGAACATATTTCGGAAACCCCTAAGAGAGAACAGCCGGATATAGAAAAATCTCCTAATATATTAAAAAAGCATCGAAGTGCCATCGCATTGAAGACATTGGCCGCCTATTCTGAAGTATGTAATAGCTTGCGAAATCCGCAACGTGGATTGCTTGCTTTGTATTATCAGAACAGCAGAGCAAGAAAAAACTCAGCAGTGGGAATCTCTAGAATGAAGAGTTCTCGGGTCTATTGGGTATTACTCAAGGTACATGTATTAACACCGTTTTCATTTTTACACAAATTACATTATTTTGTTCTGTTATAGGGTTTTGCCAATAAAGGGGACTATGTTAAATTGAAAGAAGTATTAAATATTATGCAGGAAAATAAGGTCGAACTGGATTTGAACTGCTACACCGCAATATTTGAATGCCTAGGACGAAAAAACGTTGAGCAACATTATTTGAAAGACATACGAATTTACGTTAGTGATGCATATAAGAATGGTGTTTCATTTGACGACATAATGAACAAAGGGATTTTCCTGAATGATGAACGTCAGCAAGTGCTAAAGGCGTTTCAAGCTCATAATCCTGCGTATACTCCAACTTACTACAAACCTAAAGTTTGGTATGATAACCATTTGACCAATAATTTGAATGATGATAGTCAACTTAGTTTTGAACCCGCTGCTGCTGAGGGTAGCGGGCATCTAATCAAACGCGAAACTGTAAATAGTTTGATTGAAAATCAGCTTGCATTGGAAGAAAAGGGATACATAACTGTAAGTATTACAAATACTCTTGTAAGTGAGAATGGCTGTCTAGGTAACTTTTCGGTTTTTCATATGATATAGATAAAAAGCATTGAGAACGTAAATACAGCAGGCAACGAGGTGAAATTCTTTCGAACGGCGCTGAATGATCACTACAAAATGTGGGCAGAGACTTCTCAAGCAGCCTTTCATAGAGAGTTGGCAGTTTTAGCTGCTCAAAAGAGTGCTCTTAATTTGGAGCCCTTTTTAAGGTCTGTACCTGTTAAAGATATGGTTGAAATCATAGTACAAGAAGCGACGAAAATTGCCCAGGGATCCGAAACTTATAGTCCAGAGTCGGGCCTTTTGTATAGAATGCTCGGCCAAAAAGTATATGAGAGGTATCAGGTTCTTAGGAAGCAGAAGACTGGTGTATTGACTAAAGTAAGAGTTTTTTTTATTGCGAATGGGGTAAAATCTAATTGCAAAACTTTTTTTAGGCATTAGCGATTCACAAAAAATATTGCTACAATTATGCTGCTTCTCACGTGGAATTGGATGAAGTGCCCCATAAGGAGGTCCGGTCAAATCCCAGAATTCAGTGGCAAGTACTTGCGCATGAAGAGTGCAAAAATAGTGTTACTTTAGATATGGGTCATCAGCCTTGGGTGCCTTCCAGCCTGTTGGCTATTGGGAAGTTTTTGTATCATATCATAATGCACGATTTAAAAATCGACGTCAATTGCCTCAGATCTAATAGTGCTCACAAGTAAGTTGGATTCCCACACTTTCAGCAACAGACTTACCAAACTTGCGTGATTTTTCAGGAACTTTTTACCTGCGTTTTATACAATATTTCGAAGCCAGGGCCGTATAGTAAAAGAGGAGGTCAAGCCACATCCAATATTATCTAAACTATACAAGTCATCTCAGTCCGAAACTCTAACGTTTGCAGCGAACGAAGTTCCCATGCTATGCCCGCCAATTCCGTGGACATCTGTGCATCTTGGAGGATATATTATCTCACCCACTGATATTGCACGGTAATACTGTCGAAGATATTTTAAAGCGCTTGATTGTTTTATTGAATCACGTGCAATTTTCAGGTTGCCTTTTCAGGCATACACTCAACACAAGCGACTGGAACAGGCTGATCCTGTTCAACTGTATCCAAACTTTGATGCCTTAAATCAACTGGCGGCCGTTCCTTGGAAAGTCAATACGAAAGTTTTGGATGTGATATTAGAAGTGAGTTTTTTCCAGATTCTTTTAAACCTGTTAAGCAATTAGCTTGCGACTATTAAGCATTAGCCGTGGCTGCTAGCTATTATGGAATATTCAACTGTTGAAAAATCTGCAGGTATTCCGAAAAGGTGGATCTGCAAAACTGGACGTTCCAGAGCCTCCATCGGCTATAGATCTACCGCCTACACCCACCATCGACGTGAAAAAGGCGGAGAAATATGAAATGTTTAAGCAAAAACTACAACGACGGAGAAAAAAGGCTGAAATGTACTCGTTATGGTGCGATTGTCTTTATAGGCTGTCTTTGGCAAATCATGTAAGTTTCTTTGTTGATTGACTGATAGTTTTTGGACACGCTTAGAGTATGACTTTTCTTTTCAGTTTCGAAATGATGTGTTTTGGCTGCCCCACAACATGGACTTTAGAGGTCGCGTGTATCCAGTACCCCCACACTTAAACCATTTAGGGTCAGATCTGGCCCGGTCAATGCTGGTTTTTGCCGAGTCTAGACCTTTAGGTCCCAAAGGTTTAGATTGGCTAAAGATCCATTTAATCAACTTGACTGGTCTGAAAAAGCGAGACTCGATTCAAGACAGGTAAAAGCACTTCAAAGTGTGTTTTACATAGAATCGCTCTTGATGTTTTTTTGGTTATTTCAGGCTGGATTACGCCAATCAGAAAATGAACTTAATTCTCGATTCGGCAGACAATCCTCTAAACGGCAAAAAATGGTGGAGCGAGTCTGATGAGCCATGGCAAACTTTGGCCTGCTGTATGGAGATTGCAGACGTTGTTAGGTCCGGAATTGATCCAGCTCTTTATAAGTCAAGCTTTCCTGTGCATCAGGTTAGTGCGCTATTTTGTCCTCATAGCGGAGTCTAATATAATTTAATTTCGTTTGTTCTTAGGATGGGAGTTGTAATGGCCTTCAGCATTACGCTGCTTTAGGGAGGGATACTGCTGGAGCCTTTAGTGTGAATTTGACACCGTCTGAGCTCCCTCAGGACGTATACAGTGCGGTGGTAAACCTAGTAGAAAAACAGAGGGCTATAGACGAGGAAAATGGATTAGAAGTGAGTTTTGCGCAAAACAATTAGCTTGAGTTATTTGGTTTTTTCCATTACAGATTGCCAAAACCCTAAATGGGTTTGTGAAGAGGAAGGTCATTAAGCAAACCATAATGACCACAGTTTACGGCGTGACCAGGTTTGGAGCTCGGCTACAGATTGCGAAACAACTAAGAAATATTGACGAATTTCCACAGGAGGCTGTATGGTCCGCTTCCTCTTATCTCACAGGTTAGTGTATTGTGTAAGTAAAATATTCACTTACGCATTGTATTTATTTGCAGGTCGTACATTTGACTCACTTCGAAGTATGTTCACTTCCACCAGAGAAATCCAAGACTGGTTCTCGGAATGCGCCAGGCTGATCTCCGGCGTGGGAGGGTCTCTTGTTGAGTGGGTTACTCCGTTGGGCCTTCCAGTAGTGCAACCTTACATTAAGTATAAAAAACCGCAAATGCCTCCGGGTTTCGACAGTTTTGTGCTTGATCAATTTGAGTGAGTATTACTGACACATTTTGCCTTCGTGGTGGCATTAATTAATTCCTTTTTCAAGCAAACCAAATGTAATGAAGCAAAAGAATGCCTTTCCGCCAAATTTTATCCACTCCTTGGACTCTAGTCATATGATGCTCACATCATTACACTGTGCAAGGGCAGGGATCACGTTCGTTTCGGTACATGATTGTTACTGGACGCATCCCTCCACAATTCATATTATGAACAAGGTAACTTGATTTAAATCCAGGCTGAAATATCTTGGTCTGATAACATTTCTATTTTATTTTCAGATTTGTAGAGAACAGTTTGTCGCTCTTCACTCTGAGCCAATTTTGGAGAAATTGTCTGTATTTCTCTATGATCTTTATGCTTATGATGAATGGTAAGTACTCATATTAAAAAACCCACCGAAGAAACCAGAGCATTTATCTTTTCAGCAATTTAAGCAACGATGGGTCGGTTACAGAGCTCAGCAAGAAAAAGCTCAATAGAGTGCTGAAACGCTTGCCCCAAACTGGCGACTTTGATATAAAAAATGTTTTAAAGTCCATCTACTTTTTCAGCTAGAAAAGTCAACATCCCGCGGTTTTGTTCACTGATTATGTATTAAGCTAAAATAGATTTTTATGTTGTTTATACTGTGTATTAATGAAGAACCTATTTCGGTAAGAGCAAATTATTTATTAAAAAATGTTCAAATATTTGAACACTGCATATTTTTCATAATGGCAGCAACTGCTTTAAGAGTAGATTAGGTATTACTGGTGGTCAGGAAAACACATTTTTACCAACTTAACTGTAATTAACACCTTGTCATTTATATACAGAAAAATTAAGGCACATTATAAAAATACAATACACTGGCCTAAAACCACGACATAAAATATCACTATTTATACTAATTTTTTACAAAATATGCAAACAGTTCAAATAAGACGGCCTTTTTCATGTGACCGTGGAATGATGGCGTGTATTCTATGACTAATTCTATGCAACTAAATACTCCAAATAATAGTCCTGCAAGCTCACGGATTATTGGCACGTTAGAAAAAAATACAATGTTGCATATGTTATTAAAATATTTGATTCTAGAATTGAAAACTTAACTTTTTACCATCGTCTGTTTGAAAACTATTGTAAAATTGCGTTTATAATCCACAAGAAACTTTGCGACTTGCAGCTGTACATTTAATCCAATGTTTCCAGTCATTAAGTATAAAATACAAAAATGATTGAGCCGCATAAACATTCCATTGAGTTCACACTAAACAAAATTAAAGTATATCACATTATAAAGTGACTAAGTTAATTATACTAGATTAACACAGCTATCAAGCTGCTTTAGTACAATTGAGATGTTTTCTTAGTCACTTGGAAAAACCTCTGATTTGCACTAAGAGCAACTAAGAGTTTATAGGAAGTATTTTCGGACAACCATACAATGTTATAAACGAATTCAGAAAAGCACCTTTATTCGAAACATGCTGAACAAGCCGATTATTGAAAATAAATGTAGATATAGTTCCTCAATAGTTAGGATCTGGCGATATGTACAATTTTAATTATAACTTATGTACAAAACGAATTTTATGTTTTTACGATCACTCGTTCTTGAGGCCATAATTAGTGATTATGATATGACTGACCTGCTCTTAATTGTTGGTATTGATATAATTTTTCGTCTCTCACGTTAACCCACATGAATTCCAAGCAGGTCATCGGATGTGGAAAATTAACATTATTAATTAGGCAAGCTCTGATGAGAACACACAACTTTTTCAAATAGGTGCAGTAAACATGTCTAATCACGTAAATACTAGTTAAGTACAGATATTTATATGTATGTATCTATTATATACAACATAACGCAGTCATATGTAAATTGGAATGTAACATCTTGAGCATATTTAATGTTTACTTGAAACATTTCGAGTGTAGATATGTTCTGAATATGTTTTCGTTTACACTGTTAATGTTAGAAAAGTCTTAAAGTTAAGCACTGACCAGACTTGAAATGCATGAGCATAGTTCGTTTTCAATTGAACTGTCTTGTGAAAGTCTCAGTTAATTACCAGCTATTATTCTTTGAACACTTCCACATAAATAAGGGTCGTATTGCAGGCTAGATATGAAAAATACTGTCTGTGTTGCGCACCAAAACAAACCACTTAAAAAATAATCAACTATCTAAATTGGAAAACAAGTCCATTGCTTGGCTTAGTGAAAAAACTAGGCCATTTTCGATCTATCGTAATTCTCCATTTCCCATCTCTGATGAGCCAAATTCGAATTACAATGTTCCATTACGATTTTGGTCTTCGACGCGTTTATCGTCAAACACTTGTCGCTGCTCCCATGCCTCAGAGTCTTTGCTTCAGGATCATACTCCCAGTACTGATTCCCTTTGCTTCCATGGCAAGGGTACAGGATCACTTCGGCTCCGCTGTAGTCCAGACAGCCTTCGTCTCGTCGAATTTCCCCGGTCTTACTATACAGCCAGAACTGGAAAATTGAGGTAATAATTAATTTCTGCTCAAAACACGTAATGCGTCTATGCATACATATTTACACAGTTTTTGTACACGACATTTGAACAACTCTGAAGACTACTAGAATTATTGATTAAAGTTTGCCAATTCAATTTAGCATGGACAATTCTCAACTGGAAATAATAGAAACGTTACATGCAAATTGGAATGCGGCTTATTGCATTAGCGGGTACTTAATCAACTTTCAATTTAAATTCACGAATTCATCGTTTGAAGCTGTGCGCTTTAATAAGTACGCGAACTAATCATTAATTTAATTCGTTTTGGCGAAAATATTGAAATGTTTTATATCCACAAATGAACCGTTTGTGTGTGATTGTCGGTTTCAATTTGACTTGCACTATTTTATGAACTTGTAACTTTAGTGTACAATCAGTTAAAACACCGAGTAACCTGCATGGTGCAATTGCAGGGATTATATCTGTGAATTATTTGCGCATCAAGTGCAAACTGTTCGAGCCGGACAACATTTATCAGCTAAATAGATTAGGAACTGATCAGTATCCTGTTAATGGAGAGGCAATTAAGTCCAATTACGTTAATAATGCATTGCGAGATAGTGACATTGTTAGTTGCAGTTTCGTCCTCTGATGCCCTAGATTGGTTTATTATTTAAATAGCAAAATATGTAGCAATATTATAGGAATGTTTGATACGACTTAACGTGAGAAAATTAACTTGAAACTGGAGTTTTTTCTGCCTTTTAAGCCGTCGTAGAAATGTAAACACGACTAGCTTGCAATCCTCAACCACTTTTAAATAATTTTCCACGACGGCCTAAACCCGTGAAAAACCCACCAAAAAAATCAGTTTCCCGTTCTTAAAGCACTAATTTATGAACATTTCACGACAATGCGAACCGCAAACTTATAGAGCTTTTTTCAAAATCTCGCCTTAAGTCAACTAAGCATAATTTCTCTCAATGATAAGGTAAACCCGTGTGTTTCTTTCGGCTTTATGAGAAATTTGCAGCTTTTTTTACTTTTATTGGGGATAACAAAATTTGAAAAGCTTTCCGAACAGGAAGCTTTAAATTGAAAGCTTATTGTCCAAAACTCATGAAAACTTCAGTCCTAAAACTAAGTCGGTGAAACACGAAGAATTTTTGTAACGCATTTTTGTCATAACACTAGCACAAAGCAAAACAAATTTTCTTTTATTTCCCGGTTTTTAGTCACTGATTTTTGTAAACGTAAGTATTTTTTGTAAAACTTTTCTAAAACTGATTCGGTGACACTCGTAGCACTTTTAGAACGCATGTTTGTTTGAACAAGAGTTTAAAGAGAAAATCTTCTGCGTTTCTCGTTTTAAGGCACAAATTTTTGAAACTCACGACAATGCGAAACGCAAACTTCAACAGTTTTTTTTTCTAAAATTCTCCAAAAGTCAGCTAAGTATAATTTCTTGGAGAAACTTCTCTCAACGATAAGGCAAACCAGTCTGTTTCTGTCTCTTGTGTGAGAAATTTGCGGATATTTTTAGTTTTGGAGAAAATAAAATTTTAAAAATTTTCTGCTGATGAAGCTCTAAATTTAAAGGTCATTTTCCAAATTTGATTAAAACTCTAGTTCGAAAACTGATTCAGTGAAACTCGTAGCACTTTTAGAACGCACGTTTGTTTGAACAMGAGTKTAAAGAGAAAATCTCCTKCGTTTCTCGTTTTTAAGGCACAAATTTTTGAAAATTTCACGACAATGCGAAACGCAAACTTGAAGCGTTTTTTTCTWAAATTCGCCMAAAGTCAGCTAAGCATAATTTCTGGGAGRAACTTCTCTCAACGATAAGGCAAACCAGTCTGTTTCTTTCTGCTGTGTGAGAAATTTGCGGATATTTTTAGTTTTGGAGAAAATAAAATTTGAAAAATTTTCTGCTGATAAAGCTCTAAATTTAAAGGTCATTTTTCAAATTTGATTAAAACTCTAGTTCGTAAACTGATTAAGTGAAACTCGTAGCACTTTTAGAACGCACGTTTGTTTGAACAAGAGTGTAAAGAGAAAATCTCCTGCGTTTCTCGTTTTTAAGGCACACATTCTTGAAAATTTCGCGACAATGCGAAACGCAAACTTGAACAGTTTTTTGCTAAAATTCGCCAAAAATTTGATTAAAACTTTAGTTCTAAAACTGATTAAGTGAAAGTCGTAGCACTTTTAGAATGCACGTTTGTTTGGACAAGAGCGTAAAGAGAAAATCTCCTGCGTTTCTCGTTTTTAAGACACTATTTCCTGAAAATATCATGACAACATTAAAGTCATTTAAAAAAATTCATCAAAAATCAACTAAGCTCAATTTCTTGGACAAACGCCTCACAACGCTAAAGCAAACCAGTTTGTGTTGGCATTATGTGCAATTTGCAGCTATTTTTAGTGTTTGAGATAAAAAAAAATAAATTTTTTCTGCAGAAAAAAGTCTAAAATTCAAAGCTCATTTTCCAAAATTCGAAAACCCAAAAACTTTAGTCTTCCCTAATAATAAACACACCTGATGCATAGGATTTTACTGGGTTTAAACCGCTGACTAATGTGGTGAACACAAACTACAAAAAATCCGCAATCCAAAAAAAACCTCACTTCATTTGCAGTTAAATCGGATTGCGTAATAGCTAAAACAACATGAGAATATTATTTCGATTAAAATCCTCATTTCGGTTCAGAGGCTTTATTTTCAACGCCCGTGTCAGGGAATATTCGATATCAATGAGCACACAGATAGTGAATTAAATAAGCCACTAATATAATTGATGAAATGTTGCTATATGCGGAATCATGCATGTGATGTCGGCAAGAGCAAAAAAAATGAGGCATTAGGAGACTTTGTAATTTACTTGCAATAACGCGAGTTAACGGTTCATAGACCGATTTACTCAACAATTATTATTCGGAACGGGTAAATTTTTATTCGGGATTTCAAGTGGCCTTACCACTCGTTAGAAACTCTGCACATACAAAAGAGTTCCTGGTAAGAGGGCCATTATCGATGTCTTATTTACGTCATTACAATTGCAAATCCCCTCAAGTAAGACGTTTCTTCCTTTGCGATGCCTTTAAGCTTCAGACTATTGTTCGTCGATCCAGCCACTGGGGACCCAGGATAAAGGTATTTCCCGATATGGGTTTGCCTTTGAAACGCCAAGCCATGGTTGTTCTTTTGTGTGGCTCACAGGTAAAAAACACTTTTTTATTTTGGCCCCTTTCACTGTATCCAGATAAAGGAATCTTCTGTTGTTAGCCATATCGATGATGTTGAGTGTTTTTTTTTTAAATTGGATTAGATCAATCACCCTTTGCTGGTTACCTTTTAGTGTTTGTTGGAAAACACGTTTTCTTGTTGCTCTTTTTTTAACTAGGGCTTGGAACATCAGTCTTCAATTTTCAAAGAGGATTTCAGTTACTATTTAGAGATGAATTGGTATTTTTCTGGATTTCATCAGACTGAATAATTCTGAACAAGCAGCCACTCCGCATTGGAAAGTTTGCGAAAAGTTCGGGATTTCTTGCTAAAGTCGTCAATTCAAAGTTCCCAGTAGCTTGAGCCTGCTAATGACGTTTAATTTAAATCTCATTTTTGCAGATGTTGATGCAGTCCATTGTGAAATTTCGCCTCAAAGCCAGCGAAAATTGCAACTTTTCCAACAATAATTTACATGTCCCCATTTGCTTTATTAATAATATGCAGCCAATTATCGTACAGCAGAAAATACATAACTGCAATAATATAAGTAACAAATTGAATTTAAATCCAATGTAGTGGATAATTGAAATTATTTAGTCCGGACGGATTTAAACGACGGCGAAATAAATAATCATCAAAGTAGCAAAGTTTAATTCATGCCGGCTGAGCTTCATCAATATAGTTAGTTTTAATGGTTTTGTCAAATACTGACGAATTCAATTGGCGGCGCTAAAAATAATGGAAAACGTGAAAACCCTGATGATTTTGCGTGTTTTTAATATTTAACACGATATGTTTTAATCATTTTCACCCGCAACTTTGATGCGCCAGTCGATTTGCTGCTTTCCCGAAATATCCGGCCCATTTGTAAATAGCCAACAAAATCGGCAAAACACTAGCGAAATTGACTATCATTTCATTCATTTCTATTTTGCAAGATTAAATAACCAGTCAATAAATGATTTACACATGTAGATGTTGTTCGAAAAAACTCGACAATGGTGGGATCGTGAACAAATTGCATTTTTAATTAAAAAAAAAAACACCAGAACAGTATACAAAATATTTTATCTAAATTATTTGTGACTAAGTTTATCTGGTGAAAATCAATTTGGCGCACATTTTACGGGTGATAAAGTGATAAAAACCGTTCTCATTGTTCATAATGTGCCTTAACAGCGAGATTAGGCGCCCTTAAGCTTGTTCGCAAGCTCTTCAAATAATGGCATTTTCCAAAAAAGTGAATTACATCAAAGCAATGAAACAAGTACTGAGCAACTGAGGTATAGCGAAATAGTTTCTACTAGAGTTTAAACAGCGGCTTTATTGCGGGCAAAGCCAGTTTAAAAAATGCTTCTTTGTGGCTCTCAGAAAATGTCGCGCTTAAAGTGAAATTAATTTTTCCAGTCTCTTATTGCATGCGCTTGCATTTTTCCAGTTTTCTTCAGGTTTTTTTATACTTTTTTAAACGAAAAAAACGAAATTGATTAAAACCCACCCCCATCACCGTTTGATTGCGTAGTAAACTCGCTTCAACTATAAGAAGGACGACATAAAAAAATCAGCCGGAGAAAGTAAAACGTTAAAAGTAGCAAATAAAATCCCCTCGAAAAGTGCGAAACTAGTTCATATTCATGAATATACGGGACATCGGTCAAATAAACCAAACAAATGAAAAAGTATATGAATAATTCATTTCGATGCCGCATACTCTGCCAGAGCGGCTCAATAACACTGAAATAAAATCGCGATAATTTTTTCATTACAGATTTGGGACAAAAGCGGCCAGCAATTTCGACAACCATTATCGTGATATTAACGCGGTTGCATTTAAATGATCAAAAAGTGAAATTGTTTTTATTTCGATTCGTTGAGTTTTGAGCAAATAAACAGAATAAACAAAGTAAACGAAAATAGCCAATAAAAATGAGGAAGAATATTGTAAGAAGAGGGCACGCAGCAAATCAATATCTAGAGCACAAAATGAAGAGAAATAAATCCTGTAAGGCGCAAAGAAAGTTCCCGAGGACATGCGCTAATAAACTACCAACTTGCATGATGTACTTTAAACGGCTGCTTCCTTGGAAGGGCATCAATGATAAACATTTGTTGCACCTGTTTTGAGACACTCTGTATATATTAATTATAATCCAAATCAAATCTATTCCTGGGTTTCAGTCATTTATTGTCTTTATTTATTAATCAAAA